GAATACAGAAAGGTTTGTCTAGGTTGAATCATAAGTTGAAGTCTATAATGAAGAGCCGTGAGGGACACTCCCGCTAGTCCAAAAAACGAATTACTACACGAACGCGCCCGCGAGGCTCGGCTTGCTTCGCTCGCACATGATGTTGTCGAAGCTGTCGCGCGAGCGCGGCGCGGCGCCGCGCGGTCGAAGCGGCCTGCGACGCGCGCGCGCGTTCGTCGGCGGTTCTCCGCGTCATCCACGCACCTCAGGTGGTGGCTGTCGCGCTGGAGCCAGGAGTCGTAGCGATGGTCGAAGCCTGCGCGGCGGCGGCGTCGGGAGCGACCGCGGCCGCGGGGAGACGCGCCGTTGTAGGAGATCCGCAGCAGCTGCCCGTCGTCGGCGACGACTCTCCCTCGGAACCATCGCTGTTCGCCCTGATGGTAGGCCTCGAAGTCTCTCGAGCCCTTCCGCAGCCGCTCCGGGAGGTCGTGCGACCCGAGCACGGAGTCCTTTGGCGCTTTTCGCGCGGACGCCGCCGCTCCCATGGCAGCCGGGAGGCGCGCCGCTGCGCCCGGCCGTGCGGCAGCAATTAAGTGTTTTCTGAGTCCTGGTCCCGGCTGCGTGGCGGACCCACGCGATTCCTTCGGCGCATACGCGTCGGGGCAGCTCGGCTTGGGGTTTCATCACGGCAGGTTTGCATCGGCCGGATAGTATGAAGGGCAATTTCAACATCGTAAAGCTACTTTGCACTTACTCCATGCCCTACAACCTACTTTGCGAAAACCTACCCAACCTACCTAACCTACAACCTACAACCTACCCAACCTACCCAACCTGCCCAACCTGCCCGACCTGCCCGACCCGCGAATGACGAACCTCGGTGCATAATTTTTTTCGATGAGTGTGATTCCTCCGCTGGCCCGCGGGCCCGCGCGAGCCGCCCCGAGGCCGCGCGAGGGGCGCCATGGCGGCGGCGGAAATGTCCGACGGGTGCACGCACGAAGCACGCAGTACCATAGATCGTTTCGTTTCGGCGGTCTTTGAGCCGCGCGACGTCGTCGCCCCTCGAGGCCGAGCGCCTCGCGGATCCCGCGCGCCTCGCGGCCGAGGCGGTCGGCCGCGCGCGAGGCCGCGCGCCCCGCGGCCGAGGCCGCGACCGCGCGCGAGGCGGAGCGCCTCGCCGCCGAGGTCGCGCGGCGCCGCAGCTTCGGCGCGGCGGCGGCGACGCGCTCCGCTCGCCGGGCGACGTCCGGCGCCGCGCCGTCGACGGCGTCCCAGAGCAGCGCCCCTCGAGGCCGAGCGCCTCGTGGATCCCGCGCGCCTCGCGGCCGAGGCGGCGGCCGCGCGCGAGGCCGCGCGTGCCGCGGCCGAGGCGGCGGCCGCGCGCGAGGCGGAGCGCCTCGCCGCCGAGGTCGCGCGGCGCCGCAGCTTCGGCGCGGCGGCGACGCGCGCCGCTCGCCGGGCGACCTGCTGCTGGCCTGCTGGCCGCCTTTGCTGCGCGCTCGCGACGGCGCGCAGCAGCGCGCCCAAGGCGGTGACGC